GCAGGAATTGTGAAGGGTTTCTAGCCTTGTATTCTATTTTTCTTACATATAATTATGAAGCATTGCATTTCTTGTGCTGTTGTGGTCTAGCTAGAAACAAAGTGAGAAGTATATCTTAATTTCAGATTAGGGTACAATTCAGAATTAAATCGTATTATAACTAAATTGAAAATAAAAAAAAATAATTTAAGTGAAATTAATTGAAGGCTAGTTGAATTAAAACTGTACACTAATAAAATATGTGGTTTTTTTCTTTCTGTGCTTTCACATAAAATGTTAGTTCTATATGTAATTCTTTCTTATTTAAAAAAACAAGTTGGCTTTTACATCAATGACACAGATTCAGACTTAACATAAGGAGGTGCTACTAAAAGACTTTGTATCAATTTCCTTCACTTGACCCTGTATTCACTAACAAGGACTTCTGACAGCCCAGTTATTTGCACTAGTGATCCGAGTGCTGGAGCAGCTCTGCTGTGAGGACAGGCTGAGAGAGTTGGGGCTGTTCAGCCTGGAGAAGAGAAGGCTCTGGGGAGATCTTATTGCACCTTTCAATACTTGAAGGGGGCCTGTAAGAATGGACCCCCCCATCAGGGCCTGTAGCTATAGAACAAGGGGTGATGGTTTTAAGCTAAAAGAGGGGAGATTTAGAGTAGATGTAAGGAAGAAATGTTTTACACTGAGGGTGGTGAAACCCTGGCCCAGGTTGCCCAGAGAGGTGGTAGAAGTTCCATCACCCAAGGGGGTTTGGATTAGATGACCTTTAAAGGTCCCTTCCAACCCAAACCATTCTATGATTCCCTTGCAAGAGGTAGCAAAACTTTCTTGAGAGTCCCAAGTTCTGCAATTTTAGATTTTTTATTTTTTTTTTTCCTGCTGGAATGTGTAAAATAGCAAAGAACCTAATTCTGATCCACAGTCATGCACATTTAATTTCATTAATTGATAATGACATATTTATTTGAACTTTCAGCTTTATAAACTAGATTTCAATAGCTGTTGTCCATATTTTTTAAAACTGAAAAATCTTGTACTGAAAGGATATTATCTGTACCAGGAAAAAACATCCACCTAGTAAACTGTTGTATTGTCAGGGAAATTTTTAAAATTAATTTGAACCTGATCAGCATGGGTGGTGTTTAGGTAAATAGTTCCAAAGAGAGAATTCTAGATAAATATTAAAGTGTACGTATTTGGGGGAAATAATGTGTACATGTGCTTAATTCTTTCTATGAATATGCAAAGTAAAGGATTATGGAGACTTTCAGAAAGTGCTTGGCTGGAAAAGGTTGTTTCTTTTCTAACATGAGTAATATCAGTTGCAAAGACAGGCTCTCTCCTGTCTGTTATTGAGCTAATGCAACCTTTCATTACTGTGCAACTCACAATAGTAACCTCCTGTCCATCCTAAAACACTCAATATTACCACTCTGAGAGTCTGTATGACATGTTAAGAACGTTGAAAAGGGCATGCCTTAGGAAAGTCTCAGGTGTAGCAAGTAAAACATCACCACAGTCATCACTTCAACTCACCATGAACGTTTAGATCCACATCCTAAGAATAAAATATTCTGTCCTTGATTTTTCTACATTTTCTGTTAAAATCTTGAGTCACTATCTTCTCTCTGCCTGCACCTCCTGTGTTCAATACACACAAAAGTGTATCAAGGTTACTACTTTTGTGTAAGAAAAAAGAATCCCACAGCATTTCTTTTTAATAACTGTTCAGCTACAAAATTTTATTGGTATCCTTCTATGTTCCCTCTAGAGGATGTAATGCACAAAAGCATTGCCACGGAACATATAAAATTACAAATGAAATTTATTGTAAAAAGTAGAATGTCTTCTAGACTGGTGTCAGTATTTATTTCATTCATAAACCAAAACTGCAGGTATAATATATTCATTGTCAGCAAGTTCATGTGTGTAAATTGCCATCCAACAGTATTGACTGATATAAGACAGATATTGAAAAGACAATTTAAATTTACTCTTCCAAACATAAACTGTTCCACAAAAGCACTGTAAAAACTCCTTCAAGGTTTTGTTTTGTGCTTTACATTTATGGTTAACTACATAATTTGGTTGTGTCATAATCCACTGTGTTTGGCAATTTGGCATTAAAGGCCTGCAAAGCAGATTGGATCCTCACCACTTCACTGGTAGACAGTTTGAGTCTATGACGGAGCAAGCAAGAGAAGAGGTCTAGACGACGTTGACCAGGTGGAGAGAGTTTATTTACACGATCCCGTATCTCTAACAACTGCAAAAGTGCTGAGTCCTGTGATCCCTGAGTATAGGGGTAGTCCAGCTGCAAAATCAAGTCTCGAATTGCTTCTGGGTCGAAGTGCATGCTGTAGCCAAACACTTGAATGTTATTGATTTTCATGTAGCCCAGATTTCTTGAGGGATCAATAAATTCCAGGGGTTCATAGTAGATGCTCTCATTGCCATTTGGACCGTTTGACTTTATTCGACTCCTCAAATAGATGTGTACGGTTTCAAAAAATGTCTTCCACTTGTTGCCCAGAGTCAGCGTCCAGTTATAACACTGAAGGGGTAAGTCCAGTTTAGTCCGCTCCCAGTCTGGGAAACTGTTTTCATTCACAGGCATAAACCAGCTCTCAGAGTGGCTGCCCCCAAAAGGGTTGACATAAACAGCAAGAACAGGCTCTAAGGTGCTGTTTTTAGTTAGGCAAATTTGAAGGGAGAGGCCCAGTATCATATGGACCAGGCTAGACTTGTACTTGTTACTCTTAAGAGTAAGGAGCATCCGCTTGCGCCAAGAAGGATCAAACCAGCTGTTGAGGCGCATGTCATTGCTGATGAAAATGGCATGGACCTCAATTCTCCGGTCTGTCTTCTGCAATAAATACTTCATTTCCAGGTCCTGAAGGTCAGTCTCGAACCCAATGTAGTGCTCTGTCGATTCTGCCACTTCAGGCTTGCAAAGCCCTTGGCTCAGCATGTAGCCGGCATTGCAGCTCCCACAGCGGGTGCGATTGTCAGGAGCACAGCTCAAGCACGCAGAGCCATCTCCAACCGTGCAGGGAAGGAACCCATGGCAGGCAACCTGGTCATTTGGACAGGTGCATGTGTGAGTCTCTTCAGAGAAGCTTCCCAGGAGGCCGTTTTCATTGCAGTAGAGGAAGGACTGGATGCGGTTGAGCCAATAGTTGGAAGATCTGCAATGTTAAAATAACTTATTTTAACACAAAGAGACACCCGCACACAATAAATACAACCTTGTTATTCTTTATCAGAAAGAGAAAAACAAAGTTGTTTTCAGTAAGCAGATTAAGGCACTAAAGTCAGACGACAGCAGCTGCTGTCAGATAAATACATGTATAAATTGCCTTTATAACAATGAAAATCACAAATGAAAAGTTTCCTTATAAACTCGCAGGCACAACGGGAACATTTGGTTCATGTATTTGCTCTCTCTGTCTCTCTATCAAGGTAGTCTGACAAAGAGCTAGTTTTCTGTAATCGTCTTCAGATTAACATCTTTAAATCCTATGCAGTTGAGATTAAGTTTCCTTATAATATTTGATCAGGGAAGTGCTTTTATGTATCGCAGTGGGTATAACTCTGTACCATCTCTCTCATTATGAAGATTTTTGTAAGCTGGCAAGCCTTCTCGTTACTGGCTGGAGCTGCTTTGATTTATAGACAGTGAGCCAAAACACTTTCCTGGAATGGTAAATTAGACCCTGTACCCCAGTAAAAGAGATTCAGTCTTAATTCTTCAGATGACTTCCACCACAACAGTATCCCTACAGGAAGTCATGCATGAGCATGCTGTGTTTACTTTTCATCTTTGGCTATGAAATTAAAAGATCACTTTAAAGAAGTTCTTGTAATCTCATTTTTGTTTCACTAGAAGCAACAGTTAATGTCCTACATCACACTGGGAAAACAGACACTGAAGCCAACAGGTTTGGCTGATGAGGCGCGGATGCCGGAAGAAAGACAATGGGTACAACAGAGTTACATGGAACTAATCAAGAGAAAAATAATCTTCTTCCTTTGCCTATATTTTTCAATTCTTATTAATCCTAGCAATGCACAGTTTAAAAAGCTTATTTTGGCTGCCGCGATGTCAGATCTATTGTTGCCACATGAATGACAATGGTTGTACAGTTTCTTCCCTTTTCATCACACTGTTTCAAAGAAGAAATGCAAGAGCCTCATTTACTGCTGACTTTCTTTTTAAGTCACATCTGAATTTGTCTCAAGCATTGAATAGTTCATAAATCTTAAATTTTTTTGTTGTTTTTTTCTGACCATAAAAGAAATGCTAAAACTGAAAATATATGGCATCACAAAATCTGAATTTTAGAAACGTGAAAATAAAAATCAGTAAAATCACATCACTGTACACTCTGTTGACTTTGTTTAATCTTTTTTTAAATTATTATTTCTCTTTTTTTTTTTTGGTTGTTGGTGGGAATCTTGCTTTGTTTGTTTTGTTCTTTTTATATACACATAGCCTATTAACATTCTCTAGAAGTGTAACTAAATATAATAACATCCATGACATGAATGCCTAAACCACATTCTTCTTTGTGCTCATTTGAAAGTCACTAATAAGCAAAAATAGTTTGCCAAGTTTATTCCTTCATTTCCTGATTAAAAATCATAATGTCCATTCTACAAACAAGGTCAATGTCATAATATAAAAGTTAATCCAGAACTGAGGAGGACATTAAAGCTATTTTTCTCCCAGGTGGAATGGGAAGTTCCTGTGTACTTTGGATTGCTTTCGCAGTAATCTGTACCTCCTGAGCTTGCCCTGGCAGCTCACAAGAACTGCAGTTCAGGTCTGTAATAACTCTGTTTCCCATTATGGGATGAACTTCGTAGCCAGGTGATGTCTCATATGGTCTATCTTGCTGCTACTACCCCTATGATGCATCAGGGCAGTCAAAACAGAGAAGATCCTTGTCCAAAGGAGTGAAACTAACCTTTCAAAGGTCTTTCATTACATCATTTTCCTAACTCTTTATGGCTCTCTCTGCTTATTTAAGAACTGATACTGAGTTCCAAAAGCTGCTGGATATAAGATATAAAAGTCTGGGGTTTTTACTCTCCTTTAGATCTTTGGATTATGCCATCTGCTTCACAATAACCTTCATAAAGTTGTTTCTTTATTTTGATTTGTTATCTTGGACAGATAACTGGGCAAATTTCAGGACTATGTAATTTGCTTTTCAATCTCCAAGTTTTCTGCTCGTACTGTTGCTACCAGTTGACTGCTACATCAAGGTTAAGCACGTTCAACAGCTGACATTGATCAGGTTTGTAAATGTAAATTTTAGCATCCTCCTCCACCTCTCCTGTGAAGAGTAGTCCATGCCATTGAAAAGTTTTGTTATACATTAGGAGCACATTTCCAGATAATATCATTTTGCATAGACCAACTCTGAGCTTACAGCTGTGGTTTTTAATTCATCTCAGAAGACGATAAACATTTGAAGACTTGCTGTAAAGATTTCCCGTGTATCACAGGATGTCAGCCATAGAGACTAAACCTGCTTGGCTCACTCACACAAAACATCAATGGTGCTACATAGGTTGTAGCATTTAAGGATATGTTTGAACGAAATACTCTAGTCAGAAGAAAGCTAACTGTGCCTAATCTCCAAAACCACAGAGACCCATGTGACTATGTTAGTTTTTCATCAGACATTAGTGGCCTGGACTTGGCATTGTGCTAGCATGGACAATAAATTTCTATATGGGTTGAAGGTTTAACATTTATCTTGGCTTGGAGATCAGGCACAGTTAGTTTTAAACCACACATCAACTATGAATTTTTGGAGCCTAATTTTACATTCCGATAGATTTTAATGAGTGAATTTTTTAATATTGCTTTAAGGAGATGTATTAAGTGTCACTGGCAAGGTTTTCACAGTGGAGGGGTGGGCACAGGAGTGTCCTCTGAGGAGCATCAAGAGGCCAGGGGCTGTCCCATACTGGACACTGCTGGTCCTAGACAGTTCCAGCTGGTTCCAGCCACCTGTTCTTATCTTGACCCACAAGCTTTTTTATCTTATTTCCTCCTCCCCTCCTGTTGAATGGGGTCAAGTGAGAGAATGGATGGATGGATGGCAACCAGCCTGGGTTAATCCATCACATAATGTGAGGGAGATAATTTGCAGCTTTAAGTCGATCCCTGTTATATTTCATCTACCCTTTCTTCCTCTTAGATCTAGTGGATAGCATCACAGCAGTTTTTGTATCTTGTACTACTACTTATTGTTCTGCTTAGTATTTGGCAGTGAAATAAGTCAAAGAATGTTCTTCACATTAATTTTTTCATATAGAAGAGTTTTTAGGAAAATAAGGGGGTTACTCCTCCTGTGGATACACCTGAGCATGGTTGGATGGGACAAGTATCTGGAATGCCAGGCTCCAGGCAGAGAAAGAAAGGGAGGCTGTGGCCTTACTGCAGATGCATGAAGAAAAGGGAGCTGGGAAAGCAGGGAAGGAATTCCCTCAGTTCATGAAGGTGATGGAAAGAGGGAGAGATGGTGAGGAAGAAGGCTCTGTTGGAAGAGGATAATTTTATTTTGTTGGAATAAACCTATATAAACCAGCAAAATTAATTTACTGGCAAGGGCTGATTTGGTTTGGGTTCTCACTTCTCCAGTCACACGGTTTTTAAAACTTTTCTTTTTTTTTTTTTTTTTTTACCTTATTAATGATCTAATCTACTGTTTCCATTGTTATGAGAAGCAAAATCTTTAATGCCACTTTTTTTTTTATTTTTATCTTTATAAGCCTACCTTCCTTCTTTCTCTTGCTAAGGGATGGAAGAAGCAGTTTCAAAGTCTACATCAAATTATACATAGCTGCACAATTAAGTAAGTTTCCTTTCTCAAATCTAGATATCACTTTCTAATAGTTATATACAACTAGTCATATATAGCATTTAACTTATTAAAACAACTACATCTTTGATCATTAGCAGTTGCAAGGAGATCAAGAACTTTAGAGGGAAGGAATTTTTCTCCTTATTCCAAATAAAGTTCAAAACAATAAACTTGTAATATTTTTTACCTTATTTTGATTTTTTTAACTTGATCTTTTTTTAAGTTGTCATTGAGCAATACTGTTACTCTTTGTTAATTTATTGCTTTCACTCAAGTAAATTAAGTAAATTAAGTGGAAGTTCATAAAACATCAGCAATAACTACTTCATTTAAGCCATTCATCCTTAATTAGACAAATTCACACTGGAATGTCATTCTGAAAGCTTTATTTTCCTCCTAGAAATAACAGATCATTTAAAATTCTGGACTCTGCAGTCAAGGGGAAAGGGTTGGTTAGAAGCAGATGCTTCCTGCAGGTCAACACCTGACTGAACAGCTGCTACAGTCAGAGAGGCAGGGCTTAGGCTTTTACAGCCACTGGAACTCCTCTGAGGGTAGATGGTGACTGGGGAGAGATAGGATCTAACAGAAAACAACAGGTGACATCTTAGGTGACAGACTTGCTGACCCTGTGAGAAGGACTTCAAGCAATGTTAGCTTGGGGCTGGAGTCAAAATGGGGACTAGGGAAAAAAGTGTCTGGGAAAAACCTTCCCACCAGAAAGTGGTGCAGCTATGGACCCATCTGCAGTGCCTCGACACAGACGCAAACAGTGTAGGAAAGAGGTTGAAGATATGGGCACAGTTGTGATGTATGACTTCATTGGGATCACAGATATGGTGGGATGAGCCTAGCATGTTTGTGATGGATGAATAGAGACTTTGGTGGCAACAGGTGGGGAGAGGGTGTAACTGCACTCCACACAGAGTGCTTTGAACTAAAACTTTGCTGTTGAATGAGCAATGAACTGGTCAGGATCTTAAGGGCTGGGATTAGAGGAGGGTCCAGCAATAGGAAGACTGGTCAGAATCTGCTACAGACCAGAACATCAAGAACAGGAAGTGGATGAATCCTTCCTCAACCGGCCAGATGGAGCAACATGACCACAGGTCCTGACCTTCATAAGGGACTTCAACCATCCCAGCAGTGATGTTGGTGGTGGGGTAACATGACAGGACACAATCTAGGAAAGTAATGAAATGCATTGAAGATAAATGTTTTATGTGGATGTTGAAGGAACTAAATAGGGAAGATGCTCTGCTGGAGCTGCTACTCATAAATAGGGAAGAACTCGTTGACGATGTGAA